AAAACTTTGGAAATATAATAATTATGATCAGAATGACTTTAAAACTCTCAGCTGTCACTTATTTATTTTGACCTTAACGCTTGGGAATAGAATATTAGTTTGACTAAAGAACACATATTGTGCCACTGCAATTATTGTACATTATGTACATATCTGATGTTTCATTTTTTTTAAGAACTTAAAAGCAAAGTTTTTCTTAGGTATTTAATAAATATTTATGATAAATATGAATCAATAGAAAACATTTTAAAGTTGAAGGTAGGGCAAATTTTTATAATATTTTTTTAAGCTGGAGCCGAAATATTCCTATAAGAATTACAAGATAAGAGTGCCACCGTGATTGCCTTCATATAATTAATCCGTTATATAAAAATATAACATTAGTATACCTTTTAGTATATCCAGATTCTTTTTGAGCCTAAATTGATGGTAACGAACAGAAGCAGAAGCACGGTTGAACCAGTTGTCTAACCGTCTAGTAAGTGAAAAGCAAGTAGGTAGGACCAGTAACTTAACACAAGTAACTAAATTGTGTTAAGTAACCGAAAATCAAATATGTGATTCCAATAGTTTTCTCACCAACGGGTGTGCAACACGAAAGGCAATCACTTTCACTATTCACTCGCTGTCTAAAATACTAGTAATACGGCTGCAAAGCAAACGTCGCTGAGCGGAATTTGTATTTGCTATTTCATAGTGACAACCTTGTGGAGATAGAACTCACCAGAAGCAGTGCGAGTTAACAATAAACAAGTAATATGACTGACGAGGGTTGTACTGACTTGATATTATTTTGCCATACGATTAAATAAATTTAATTGGATATATATATGTTTCTTAATTTGGTAGATAACCGTAAATTCACTCTCTTGTTGCATACTCAGACAAGTGTCCCATAACATGTATATATAATTAACAACATACCTCGTATTATAATTAGTTTCCTGATATTGATCAACTGTGTTGGCCTGATATTCAGATTGGTATCCATAACTGCCGTATCCAAAGCTTTCGTCTGTGATTCTCTCCGGTTCTGTTAAATTGATAAGAAATATATTTATTAATTGTTAGCTCGAGCTACTCAGTACTTTGGAAGGCACATTCAGCCGTTGATCCCGGCTACATTTTGCAGTCGTTAATACCCTCCAATCCGCATTGGGCCAGCGTAGAGGGTCATGGAATACGCACAAATAGTGTTAACTTTGACATTTGGTTGTAATGAATTTTTCAACAGGTATTTTCTTATTAGCTCAACCAGTTCCACAACCGTTTATTAAAAGTATCATTAACTTAAAGCAACATCCATTAAAAAATTTCAAATTTAAAACATTAATTGGAGTGCAACTTGGTTTATGAAATAAAATCTACTTTAATATGTAACAAATGTTTTATTTGACTAACAGTCAGTTGCACAATCGACCATCAAGGTTTAACGACGCCCTTGTGCTCTAATAAATGTCAAATTTGTATCGGTAATGTTGCTTTAAACTAATGACAATTTTAATGGACGTTTATTCTCGCTACTAGATGAAAACAAAAAACGTAGATCGTCGGCATTTGTTCCATATATATACAAAATGAACATTGCCAATTACGTGATATGAATCGGTAATATAGGTTTAATGAAACTAGTATCACGTCCGCCCCGAAGATGGGTGATGCTTCCAAAAAAATACATGCGTATTGTATCTCATCAGGCCACCAGCTGCGATACCAATAACGTCGTGCATTGATTTAAGATCATCTTTAAAATATCCAGATTCCATGACCCATACAAAACTAGACGAAAATAACGAAGCCATAACAAAATTCGTGTGTACAAGAGTAAATATGACTAAGCGTGTACTTACCATTTGTGTGAGTAACAACTATGACAATTAAATATCCCTATGTGTTAACAATTTCAATATTTTAATTTCTTATGCACTTACTATGATTATGATGACTACGTTTTGAGACGTTGTGTTTCTATTCGATAAAAAATGACATACTATAAATATACTGTCATATTTATAGTATGTCATTTTCTATATTTGTTATAGCATAACTTTTAGTAACGGATAGCTTTCGATATCAATTTTTTATTTCACATATTGTAGCTACATATAGATTATCTCATGGTAAAAAATGAACAAGAGTTTATTTACAGTACACAGACAGTATTTGGAAAATTACAAAGGGTAAATAGAACTCAGTGCCCAGTGCAGCGGTGCAGGAACACCTGCCGACCTATTCGCTAACTCCATAGACGACATAAAGTCATCATCACCGTAAAAAGTGAGCAATTCCAATGCGTTTTGTAAGAATGGTTCGTAATTTTGAAATGTCAATATTGGCAATCTCCACTAAACTCCATTTTGACACTTGGTCTTCTATCGATAAAGTGTTATTTCGTATTTCGTAAGCATTAGTGACCATGAAAGTTATCTTCAATACGCGATTTCATAAAATTAAAATAAACAGCTAACTAGGGATTAATGATTTACAAAATTCCAAAACCGCCCGATGACGGTTTGCCTACAGTGTTCTGAGAACAATTTATTTCGGATGTCCTGAGGAGTTGCCAGAAATACAGATTAAGGTGTCTAGTGGCGGCGGCGCGAAGAAAATACTTTGGCATACTGAAGTAATAACCATTATAAAACTCCTGCACATTTATATCACTAGCACATTTTTATACTTAACAAAGTAGCTACCGGTAACTATTGATTTTATGATAAAACTAATCGGGTCTAGGTTGAAACATATCCTAAATCTAAACTTGTTTAATATGTATATTTATTATATGATATAGATATGGTTATAAACTATTTAACCAGATTAATTCAGTCAGATAAACATATTACTACCACAAGATAACATAGATTGCTCTCGTTTGAGTAACAATGTTACGGCTTATATCGCTGGCAATATAGCTTTATCAATCGTACTGCTACACGTATACACTTTCTTAAAAGAGAGAATGGCCCATCATAAGAATTAACAAAAATCAAATTAATTAAACAATAAAAGCCAACTATTTAATATAAGATTATTGAAAAATATCACGAAAACTAATTTTACTCATGGAGACTGAATAACTAAGGACACAAATAAGACACTATATCTAGGAAAAACCTTAAATACGCAAACTACAAATTCATAACAAATTGGTTATTTTATGAAATTGATTCAATAATGTATCAGTTGAGTCGAAACTTCATTTCTGTATGAAAGACAAGACGAATGATTTTTCAGCAGCACGTGTATCGAGTTCTGTCATTAAAATTGCCATTTTTAAAATTTTAAATGATCGTTTAATGAAAATAAAATCTTAACAAACATGCACGGCAAAAAACTATTGACGTTCTACCGTGCCCTTACACCAACAAACATTTTAGCGTATTAAAACTTGGCTTCACTTTTATCGTGCCCACTCATAGGTACCTAAAATCTGATTATTATATAATCTTAGCGTCTCACATAAGCTAATGGTAGTCGCTTAAGAGCTTCTGGCATCATGCCATAGCTTCCAATGATATGTGGATGCCATCGAATGACGCCATAGATGTACAGCTTTGAGACAGTTGTTTAATCGATGCAAGTCTAAAGTTCATCATTTTCTCTGAAGCTATCGGCTAAAGCTTGTAGGCAAGTTATGAAAAGAAACTAACCAGGTACGTAAGGCACGTGCGTTTGTGCAGGCGTAGGGGGCAATGTATGAGAAGCGGGTAGGACAGCAGCGGGGGCGGGCAGCGCGGGGGCGGCAGGGGGACGCGGGAGGCGGCGGCCGCGCCCCGACCGCAGTGAGCCCGTCTCGCTACCGGGCGGGACGGGCAAAGCACGCCCACGCTTTGGCGTAGACGATGGCGTCGCTAAAACAATATTTTATTGCGTTAAACTTCGAACACACAGACATGTGAAACAACTTCCATCAATTTACATTCCATGTATGATATTATTAAATGTATGCAATATGGGGTAGGGGTAGTGTTGGAATCTTTTATTTAAAAAAATGAGAATAACTGATTTCAAAGGAGATAAATAAAGAGTATTGACTTATAAAAAAGAGATTCATTTATTTCTCATTTAAAAAATAAAATAAAATAATAGGTCCTCTTTTAATATTTTATGTTATAGATTAATCGGGCATACTGTACGCCTATACAGAGTATAATACTCTATTTTAAAATGCGGTTGGCAACCTTAGACTTAAATAAGTTTTTATACCTCTTTTTTGTGCCTCATAAGTTGTTCACCTCTAAGGTTTCGGATTCAATTTCCGGTTGACTCAATAAACATAATGGATATATGTTGTCTCGTGTCTAGGTGTTGTGGTTCCTTCATTATTTCAGATTTACATAATACAAGTGGTTTAGCTACTTAATTTTGGATCTGAGCAATGTATTAAATAGCTCTTGAATAGCATGAGGCAAATGGCGAACATAATAATGGCATTATCTGTTAGGTACATAATCAAAACATTCAATTTTAGTATTATACATACATTGCTAGTGGAAATAAAAATCTATAGCTATTAAATGTCTGACCAACCGAGGTCCACAAAGACATTATTGTATTCTAAATAGGGTACTTTCGGTTGTTATAAAAACATGTCATGAAATTATAGATTTCTTTTTTATTAGTTAACTAGCTTTCCGCCAGCGGTATCGCCTGCGTGTTCTTGTATTATACTTAAAACCTTCCTTTTGAATTACCCTATCTATGAAAAAAAAAACCACATCAAAATCTATTGCGTAGTTTTAAAGATTTAAATATACATAGGGATACAGGGACTTTGTTTTATACTATGTAGTGATAATTTTGAATTACAAAATTGCATGATTTTCTTATTAAATTAAAATCAAAAGTACAAGATTCCCATATGCGTATCACGTGACCTTAATTATGATTCGCCATGATATGTGTAACGTCCTTTAGGCAAAACAAAAAATTTGCGTCTGTCAGGGAAGTCGAAAACAGCTACCTATTTATTTTGAAGTAGATCCCAAGATGGCACTACTGTTGTATGATATGTTGTATAATATCTTAATAAGAGCAAGTTTACATAGCATTCTTTATTCAAAATTTAAAATAGATTTTAATCAACAAAAAAAATTACATATTGAAACTTCTTTATCTTTATAATAGCAAAAAACAACAAAATATCATACTGAATAAAACACCTATGTATACCTGGAAGACTGGCAGTAGTACGTCTCGGCCGAGGCCTATATGGCGCCATCTCATTATAGTCCGAATACCTAGAGGAAGGCGGTAGCTGAAACAAATGGTCCACAAAATTAAGAAAATGGCAAGATAGATAGATAACTCTTTATTGTTGACATAACACTATTTACAGAAACAAACAAATTAAACTTAATTAAAATGCAAACAATTGGCGGCCTTATCGCTTAAAGCGATTTCTTCCAGGCAACCTTTGGATGGAGAAAGAGATAGTCTTTATAACGGAGACGGGGGTGTACATTTGAACAACAATATATCTACAATTAAATGCAACAATGAATATAAAAACAAAAATTACATACCTACAATAAATATTTATATAAATATGATATTATATAATAATAATCGCATACATCTATATGATCTACATATATAAATACATATATACACATATTAACAAATCTGGAATAAGTAACAGTGCAGCAGCATCATAGTAATTATTGTGAAAGGTAGAATTCTTTGACGTAAACTTTAAATGTTGGTAGGGATTGAGCTCTCCTGATCGAAACTGGGAGAGAATTCCAGAGACGAGCAGCTTTGACGGTAAACGAGGAATCGAAAAAGGAAGTGCAATGAGAAGGAATTTCAAGAGTCAAGTTCTCCGTTGATCGCAATGCATATGAATTTGCGGAGTGGAGAAAATTGAATCGATCTTTGAGATAGTTTGGGTAACTGGGATTAAATAAAATATTATAAAGAAGGGATAGTATATGAGAATTCCGGCGAAGACGCATAGGAAGCCACTTGAGCTCTGTGCGAAACTGAGAAACATGGTCATATTTGCGCAAGCCAAAGATGAACCTGATACAAAAGTTTTGAAGTCGCTCAAGTTTATTAAGCTGGTCCTCCGAAAGATCAAGGTAACAGGCGTCGGCATAATCTAGGATAGGAAGCAGCAAAGATTGCGCTAACGCAGCTTTAGTGGCAGTGGGTAAAAAGTTACGTAATCTCTTCATTGAAGCAGCTGACGCGTATAACTTACGACTAATCAATTGCAATTGTGGACCCCAATTCAGACAACTGTCCATAAGTACCCCCAGGTTTTTGACAACTTGACTAAAGGGAATATCTATACCATCAAAAACAACTTTCGGAAGTGCCTGGAAGTCAAGCCTGGAGAGTAATCTGGAGCTACCCGTTATCATCACTTGAGTTTTTACAGGGTTGATACTCAAACCAAAAGCTTTACTCCATTTTTCAATACGTTGAAGGTTGAGATTAATATTTACCACTGCTTCAGATATTTTAGAGAATGGTGCATCACAGTAAATCTGAAGATCGTCTGCATATAGGTGGTAGGAACACGAAAGATTTTGAGAAATAGAATTAATAAAGATTGCAAATAGAAAGGGAGACAATACGCCGCCTTGAGGGACACCAGCTTTCGTGTCACACCATGACGAGAACTTCTCATCAAGGCGGACTCGCTGCTTGCGCCCATACAGATAGCTGTGAAACCAATCAATTAACGTTGGAGATATGTTAAGTAAGCGCAGCAAAGCAAGAAGTACGTCGAAATCAACCGTGTTAAAAGCATTACTGAAGTCCAATAATGTTAGTACCGTCAAGTGGCCATTTTCCATCGCAAGACGTATATCATCGGTAATTTTTACTAGCGTTGTGGTCGTGCTATGGCCGGGCCGGAAGCCGGACTGGAGAGGATTCATAAGGTTGTGGCGAGAAATAAATTTACTAATCTGTTGATGGATTAGACGCTCCAAGACTTTAGATAGGAAAGGAAGAATACAAATAGGACGAAATTCATTAAGTATTTTGGGATTGCTAACTTTAGGTAATGGAATTATTTGAGCTTCTTTCCAAGAAGAAGGAAAGACGGAATTAGAAATAGAGCTATTGAAGAGAAAAGTAAGGACAGGTAGAATAATGTCAAGGATTGGTACTAACATATTTCGGCTTATACCATCACTACCAACCGCATTGGAGGTGACTGACAGTACACACTTCTCAACATCACAATCCGAAAATTGATCAAGAAAGAACTGAGGATGATTAGGAATTGGTAATACGGAAAGACGATTTAAAGTATGGTTTTTTTCAGTGTCATTAATATTAGACGAAGAAGAGAAGAAGATATTGAGGGAGTCAATATTTAAATCAATAGGAATAGAATACTGTTTTGATTTACCAATCCCAAGTGATTTGAGAAAATTCCAGACTTTCCCTGGATCTTCATTTTGGACAGATTTATGGATATGGCGACGCAATGCATCCCTACACACCACATTGCAGCGATTTCGAATTTTGTTGTAGGTCTCTCTGTTATGGGCAGTCGGACGACATTTATATCTGCTCCTAGCAACAGCTTTTTTATGCATTAAGCTTTTTATGTCATCAGTAAGCCAAGGTGCAGGCAAGTGTTTCAGTTTTATCGGTCGGAAAGGTGCGTGCCTATCGTATAGCTGGTTAATTAGAGAATTAAAGATCCCAACCTGCTCATCTACAGTCTGAGCATCACACACTGAAGACCAGTCAATACTACGCGCGTCCTCTAGAAATTGGTCACGATCCATACCACTAAAATTGCGTTGAAAAATGACTTTAGGTTTCAATTTAGGAGGACGAATTTTATAGGACACATAAATAAGGTCATGGTAAGAGAATGCATCAGCTGAACATTGTCCATATTTTGCAACATGCTGTAGAGAGGATACTATGGATAGATCGAGAAGAGAAGGCGTAGAGTTAGGGAAATGATGAGTAGCATTAAGCGGAAGAATAGCTAAGAACAGGCGGCAAGCAATAGTTGATAATAGAGATGGGTCGTTGAGAGATTTTCGGTCGACGAAACGAAGCCGTTCATTGACCTTGATCGACTAGTCGATCAACTAGTTAATTTTAACTATAGTTGACATATGGAACTACGTCAAGGGGTATGAACTTTGGACGAAAATTAATGGTTTAATTGAACCGTATATCAATATTGAAAAGTAGGAGATACAGCCTAGTGATTAATAATAATTAATCACTAGGCTGTATCTCATGAACCTTGATAGATAGATAGTTAAAATTTTCAAATAATATGCATTTCTGTTGCCAAAAATGAACAAATACTAAAAACAGAATTAAATATTTGCCTTTATTTAATTAAATAATGTTTTTGCTCGATATCGATACTTGCAGCGGGTAAACAGACCCTTGAAATACTTCCGAGGATTTGTCTATATAGGTATTCACTTTAAAAATAAACAGTTAAATTAAAATAAAATAAATACTCAAGTTGGCTCCCGTACAAATAAAACAGATTTATTTTTTTTGCAGTTATATAATGGTATGTACGGATCTCTTCGTGTGAGAGTCTAACTCGCACTTAGCCGTTTTTTAAACATACAGTTAAAAAAAAAATGTTTTTTATGTAATAGGATAATTAATTTAAATTAAAATAATAAATAAATTAATGAATCACAGTAAAATTCGGATGCAAAAGAAGAGAAAATTTTTATATAAGAAAAAGTTAACTTATACTAAGTAGTAAAATTCTTAACACCGCCATGTCAAAAATCGTAGAACACCATCTATCGGGGACTAACGTAAACAAACAAAGTCTAACATGTATTTAAACAAGGCCTATGTATTAGATACGCGTGTTCAAATATTTACTTACTTACTTTGACTTTAGAGTTTAAATTATTTCAGCTGCCAAAGTTACATGAAATTTTAATAATGGAAACAACCGAATTCCATTGTATTATACAGATAAAGTTATGCGTTGCAGTTTCGTAACATGTTTATAGAAGAACGGTGCGTTCTTCTTTTAGCCGTCGACTTTTTAACTGGTTGTATTATACGACAAAACAAAGCTTTGTAGTCTAGGTGTACGTTGATCAACGAACGTAACGCTCTTCATCTGATCATTGAAAATTCAACTAGTTGAATTATCAACTATAGTTAACGTATGCAGCTACGTCGACAGGATGGACGTCGACGGATGGAAGTGTGCGTTTATTTAGGAACTACAACCAACGTACAAATATTAACCTTATTGGATGGACTATATAGACCACAGAGTACATTATTATAATATAGACTTTCGTAGTTGGCCGAACTACTTCACGTTAATGGATAATTATTATAATATTTATTTTGTGTAAGATCGTAGTTACCTAGGTGTAGGTATAATAGAAGAAATTTACGGTTTCATATTTTTTATTAATTTAATTAGAAATCTTTAATAAATATTTTATTAGATTTTGTCAATAAATATTATTTTTCGTTTATAGTGATATGTTTTACTATTTTAACATAATATTATAGATATACTGAACTTTAGATTTTGTTTGTTTTGGTTCAAAATAAAATTATGAATCTTAATATTCAAAATTATTCATATAACAGTTGCCCAGAGTGAATTAAATTCTCTCAAATAAAAAAAACATCTATAAAATAAACGTGCTTTCAGAGAAAGAAAGGTTAGAAAGATTATTCAGACAAAAAAAATCCCAAGGAAACCCTAATAAAACACGTAATTAAATTAGACGAGTGTATGCAAAACTAAAAAGAAAGTATTATATCCCAACAATAGTTGACCTATACCAACTAGTAAAATTCTTAACACCGCCGTCTATATAAATACAAGAACTGTATAACACCATCTATTAGAAACAAATGTAAACAACAATCACATCTGACATTCATATATACAAGGCCTATGTATTAGACACGCGTATTGTAATATTTACTTACTGCCATTGACTTTAGAGTTTAAATTATTTCAGCGATCAAAGTTACATCGAATCTTTATGAATGGAAAATGATGCGTTGCAGTTTCATAACATGTTGTTAGACGAACGGTGGGTTCTTCGTTAAGGCGTCGATTTTTCAACTAGTTAACCAAAGAACTGTCAACCGTCGACGCGTTGATTCTACGTTTAACGGTTGATTTAACTAGTCCGTTGATTCAACGCCCATCGCTAGTTGATAATCAATAAAGCTTAAAAAAAAGTCTATTTTATTAATCTTAATAGTTTGAATGCGTACACAAAAGTATTACTTAATAAACCTGATAAGCAGCTACAAAACTGAAAAAGAAATATACAAAATTTTGTGATAAACAAGATAAAAGCTTATCACTGGCAAAAATATCGGTCTAAATACCACATCATCTATTTAGGCTGTTAGTTCCACTTATGAGTACGTCCTTTCGACATAAATATTCATAAAATTCAGCCTCTTATTAATAAAAATATCGCTTCTTGTTTGATAAGTTGACCATGACTGTTAACTTGTTTTAATTTAATTTGTATGTAAGGGCAAAAATTCTAAGCTATCTATCTAAACGTTTTATGAATTTTACATTATCAAATTATTTTGCAACTCTTTATCAAAATTGTACCTGTTTAGGCGGAATCTGTGGAAGCTGAACAACCGAAGACCTTCTTTTATTGACGACATTTTCATACTCAGTTGGCGTGAGGCCATAATTGTCGTCGTAAAAGATATGCCCCCCACTGTCCCACTGCCGCGAGTCTTCCCCGAGGTATGAAGTCTGGTAAGGATAGCTACTGGAGTCGAAATACTCTTCGTAACTAGGCTGTTGAGATATATGCGAATGGTCCCTGTGGAAAAAATAATAATATCACAATCTACACAGTTCTAAGAATCATCCGACGAGCTCGTTGCTCTTTAGCACGTACAGATTATGCAGTCGTGAGGGTACACGGAATGAAAAAGGCTAGGAAGTAAGTCCAATCTGGCATACACTCGTTTGGGAGACGCCGAATAATAATGCCACATTCAATTCATAAGTTTGTATTCAGATGTAAAAGGTATCCTATTTCGCTCTCCAGCCTCCTTAATATCTCCACATCAAAAATCATACAATACGATGCTCTAATACGACGTGCAATAAAAATAAATTCGAATAAACACACTTTTCTATTTATAATATTAATTGTATTGAAGTAAGAATTAATAGGGATGACGACTGGGTAAAAAAAATGCAATTCTATTTAGTCCGTCAGTCAGATAATAGAAAAATATTAGATACGTATTTTTTTTACTTCAATTTAACAAGAAATAGCTTAGATAACAGGCAATAAAGTTGAGGAGTGGGGGCTCGCTACGTCACAGTTGAGTAGAAAACGTACCATAACGTGACGTCATGCGAAATTTCAACTCCATGTAACGCCATAATTTTATGATTAGGAAAAAAATAAAAAAATACGTGTTTAATATTTTTTAACACTCTACCTGACGGACAAACAAACAAAAATTATCATCATCCCTATTATGATGTGAATCTAAAGCATTTGAATGAGTACTTAATTATTTGTTAATATTATGTACTATAAAAGTTTTATTTTGCAAATATTAATATGCCGTTAAAAAAAAGGTTAATGTAGACACTACAAAAATATTATCTAGAGTAGGGCACGATAAATCATTGGAGTTATTGTCTAATTTATAAGTATCGCAATCACTTACAAATGTAAAACGACTTATGAAATTAGCTAGCTTGTATATGTCGCAATCGCCTCCGCAAATAATTTGAATGATTATTATATTTTACCAATTTCGCATTCACAATGTATACCGAAAAATATTTTTAATGAAAAATTCAATTAACCCCTGGCATTCTGAGCTCCCATCTCAGTGAATACAAAATTTGAATGATCTTGAAAGAAAAAAAAAAAAACTATATTGAACCCATCGAATGATTGCATTTAGCATCATATACATCTTCTTTGTTTGACATTTCTCAATAACTTTCAAAGATGTATCTAAGTCTTGAATTGGAGAAATCGTCCGTTCATTTTCTATCAAAAAATGCCACGATCGAAAACGCTATCACGTGTCAAATAGTTATAGCGTGAAGTTATAAAATTCTTCCAATTGTCAAAGTGAAAGGGATTGTAAAATTAGAAGCATTTGCAATTGTTAACATCCACTACACCTGGGACTAGGGCCCAGAATGGGTCATAGTCCATTCTCTTTTTTCGATTCAATGCGATTTCATCCATCGGAAAAGCCTATGCCTCAGCAGTGTGGACGTTAATAGGCCGGTGATGATGATAATAACATCATCACCAGCTTATTGATGTCATGATGACTAAATCTAGTAGGTAAGTAAATGTTTCAAAATATAGTCAAAACACAATAAATATTCTGCCTTACCTTATGTGCGTGCTAGTGCTATATACGTCGTAGCCGTAGCTCATCCCATCATCATACAAGGTATTCTGACGTTCGAGACTTGGTCGCCGCTGTTCTTCTGCGCAAAAGTTAAAAAGGATTTGTTATTCACTTATTTAACACTAGTTCTTCCCGCGACTCCAAAGTCTATTAAAAGCAAACAGACAATCTAATTTTTCCTCTTCGTTTATAATAATAAACATTTTTTCCCATAAAATCTTTTTTAAGACATTTTTTCTAAATACCTATGTAAGTCTAAACCAATAAAGAAATGGAAACATTATCGTCCAATTATCGCAGTTTTGTTTTTAGCCTGCAAATATTTTTAAAATACAGGTGGAGTAAGCTCACATAACCAACATAAGTTCTGGAACAGAACGACCGACACTCCCAAGGTTCCTGGAGAGTACTATTTGTCTTTAATATGATGTAAAAAAAATATATGCCTAGGTCAAATAGTTTCGGAGATATTAAATTTCAAAGTTTTTGGAAAAAAATGAGTGTTTTCAACCCTAAGTCAGCTGTTTTTGGGACGTACTAAGGAAAAGTTTTTAATCGGTCATTGACTTCTTCATTTCTAAAAACGAAATAAACTAGTTAGTAATCTATAAGACTGCTTCCATGCAAATAATACCAGACAATCAATTAACAAGACAGTCAAAATACTTAAATCGATTTACAGACTAACAGCCGGTTTCTGATTTGAAAAAAGTAGATAATCTCTACTGCTTATTCTAAATAACCTAAGTTTTTTTTAATTTCACAAGTCAAATAGTCCTGGTTTTATCAAACTGCTATCAATTGATCATCAAAAAACTAAAATTGGAAACGAAAACTAAGTGATGTTAGTTTGAGACGTTTAACTTTAAATTCTCAATTCAGAAACCGAGTGTAAAATTTTCTAAATTATTGTAGAGAGTTCAGTCTAACATTAACCTACGTTATTTTAAAAGAGCAGTTCTCCAAAAAAACGTTTGAATGGGGTAATACTCTTTTAACAACGCGATCGTTAATTAAACTCGATAAACTCACAAATCTTTCAGCGATTCATCACTAACACAAATGTTCTTTGTTTAAAAAACATTGAGGAAGTTGTTGATGGAAATAGTATTTAGGTAATTGCATTTAAAAAGAACATTATAAAATGCATGATATCAAAAGACGAATTAAAAAAAGGCGAACCGAGTTCGACCCTGGATAAAAGCCCCAGCCACGCCGAACCACCGCCACCCCGCTTCATTGTTCCGTCGGGGGTTCCCGTAACTCAGTCGCATAAAATAATAATACAACTCCTAACGGAGCTCAGTCGCCGCCGACCGTTTGCGCTGGAGTGTTGTTGCACATCGACGCCGACGCACCGCTGCGAAGCACCTTTTTTGACGATTTTTGTTTTTAATTGAATTTTGATAATAAGATAGAGTGTTCGTCTTGAGTGTTAAGTGTAGTTTAGTAAAGATTGTGTTAAGTTTTGTGTGAAATGTGATGTGTTTTGCGCATGCATTCACCGGCATGCAAAAGAGCGTGCTTAGCTCAGTCTTCAGAGAGGAAATGGACATTTTCAGCATCGACTATCATCAAGATATTGGTAAATAATTAAATTAAATTAATGTATTTCGCGGTCCATTGTTATCTGCGCACAATCGATATTGCGCATGCGTGTTATAGGGCTCTCAACACATATAAATTTAAAAAAAAATTTCCTCCATTTTTACACCTTCTTTATTTTGAAATATTTGTCAAATTAAATTATGTTTGCATGTAACCTGACTTGAAACTTTCGGCTGTGTCGCTCATTTTGTGGCTCCCGCTATTATTTAGTTCAATCATGTACAATTTCACAGAATTCATATATAAAAAATATTTCTGAATAAAATTTAGTTTTATTTGCATTACAGGCATAATGGCATCTGTCACTACAAGCAGAGCGAGTAATTGGGACCTAATCCATGGTTAAATTTAATATACATACTTAGAAATAAAGTGTAGCCGTTACGGGCACGCAAGTAAACCTGACGCAGAAACCTAAAAAGCGAAAACTAATAGTTGTCTTCAAGAAACAAAGATACTCAACTTCTACACAGTTCCGTATTTGAGTTTACTTTCGTGCTCGCGTACTACCCCGCACATATTATACTTAGCCACCACATTATACTGGTACTTACATTTATTGCTTTTTGCACTTACCCCCAGACTGCCAGTCGGTTGCAGTCCGCCATGATATAGCTGATTCAACGCTAGCTTGAGCATGCAGCTGCGACCAAGTCTCTATCCTGGAATGAAATTATGGACTTTACCGCCATGGCTATATATATTTAACGTATAAACTGTATAAAAATAAATATCTCAAACACACAGTTGAATATACACGAAAAATTGGTTATCAGTGCACAAACTTTTTCATATGGTATAGTAAATTAATAATATATTTAGTATAGTGATAAATAATATTAATAGAACATATCTACGAAGATTTTTTGGGGGAAGGGAACCTTTCGTGTGCGATTCCAAATTTAACTTGACCGGTTATTTTTTTTTTAACTGATAATTTCATATACGAGTATGTTTATTACATTTTCATGCATGTTTTAACCCGATTATGACGAAGCGAAAAGGAGGATTATAATAGTAATGAAACTGTAGGTACTAACATAAAACGGTCATCGACTTCCATGTACAGTAGGTATATACGTATTATAAGTCGTAACATATATATACATATTTTTTTACATCGGATATAAGCAGGTCAAAAAAGATAGAGAAAAGACATGACAATGCTTCACCGTAACTATCAAAACATTAAATTTTGTGCACTGATTACCAATGTTTTGTGTATCAATAATATTACCATTCTATTCTATAATCAACTCTTCCTTTCATCCATAAAAAGTTTTCTTTTTTTTTATGGGATAGGGGGCAGACGAGCAGACGGATCACCTGATGGTAAGTGATTACCGTCGCCCATGGACACCTGCAACACCAGAGGGGCTACAAGCGCGCTGCCGGCCTTGGAGGGAAGGGTTGAGGGGTAGAGGGAAGGGAATAGAGAGGGGTTGGGCCTCCGGTACCCTCACTCACACGACGAAACACAACGCAAGCGTTGCTTCACGTCGGTTTTCTGTGAGGCCGTGGTATCGTTCCGGTCGAGCCGGCCCATTCATGCCGAAGCGTGGCTCTCCCACGGTAAAAAACATTTCCTACACGGAATTGTGTTTTTAATGGATTTTTGCATGTATAGAATGCCTTTGTTTTGTATGAATATTTAAATTACTTATTTTAGATAAAAAATTTAATGTAAGTGTCAACATTATTTATTACATACCTATTTGTCCTCGGCTGACTGTTATAATACAGAGGGTCTGTGTCCCCGTGGAGGTGGTACTCTTCCCTCTCATAGGAGTTCTCACGTGACACCTCCAGTGACCTCTGAAATTGATATATTATAAATGCAAATGAACTATAATATGATAAATTGTGACATACGTAGGTACCTATTTCGATCTAGATGTATAAAATGATGGATAAAATTATCAGGTTATCAGGTTAAATATATAAAGGCTTATTTTTCTTAGGTTTTCAAAAATATCGGATACGGCCATTGAAATAAGTTATAAGAAAAGAGTTATAAGTCTTTTTAATTTATTCATTCTTATACTACAGTGTCATCCGGTTGTAATCTATCGATAAAAATCATCATGTAAAAAAAAACACGGTATGGGCTTTAAATCCACACACTTAGTATAATGTACGAACTCTGCCAACATTAGCATTGCCAATTCTCGGAGCTACTACTGCCAAGAGCCAACACCTGGTCGTCAGCTATGTCTGCTGGAACCCGAATGAGTCTTAACAATTTCATTGAAGTCTGAATTTCCTTTAACACAGTGTGAAATGCGCTCCAACGCACTCCACCGCCATCCAGGTGGTAGAGATTAATTTATCGAGCGACTAGTGACGTTCAATATTCACAGAATCGTTTGAGCCGAATTTTGTCTTTTCAACGAAGAAAACTTCAATTTTTTTTTGTAACATGTCTGCATTTGACTTGTGAAGATGGACAGACATTTAAGTTAAGTTTGACGACTTGCGTCGAGTAGGTAGCTCGATGCGAGCCTTCGAGTTGTGAGTTTTGCGGTCCAGCGATGAAATTCCATAAAAATCCTAACCCGAATTTGTATTCACTCATGTGTCCGAATTCACGTCATTAGTGAAGAAATTCTATAGATTCCGTATATTGTATAAAAATACAAAACAAAATTTATTGAGTACTAGCTTTCGCCAGCGGCTTCGCCCGCGTGTACCCTAGGGAAATGTAAAGTGGGATAAAAAGTTATCTCAGTCAACTAATGCCCATCATCAAATTTCATCAAAATCCGTTCAGTAGTTTCGGCGTGATTGACCTACAAACATCCAAACAAAGAAACTTTCACATTTATAATATTAATAGGATACGTGTCTCAGATATTCTATTTCTATGTCATATCGAAACTCACTTCACTAATGCCAAGAAACGTTATTACCAATTTAAATTGAGCAGATGCCGCTTTTCGAAATGAATTCGAACACCTGAATTAATTCGAATGTAGATATGTATTTTTACGGAATCGCAGAGCAGATGTTGGTTGGTACTCGTTTTTAGAACGAAGCAGTCAAATTACCCTATATAAGTATGAAGCATCAAATATAAGAAATACCTCGCATACTTTGAGAGTATTCGAAATGTTTCTAACTGATTGGAAACTTTTGCTCGTCAGATTACGTATAAGTAAATCGTTTTATGTAACAAGTAGTGGACAAATAGAGTAGGCCCTTAGAACTTAACAAGACAAGTTACATGATAACATTATTTATACCTGCGGTGTGTGCATCTGATGTGCCGCAGTCCTGAACTGCGACGCACTGCAGTTAGCATGTTGCCCCACCGGGTAGTTGAGGTCCGACGTATAGTCTGAATCCTCCGAGTAACCCGCTGTAACACCAAAATTATGAACACCATAAGTACCATCTCCAAATATTAAATATTTTATAAAACTATACTTTGAAAGCTTAAGTGTAAAATCAAACGAATTCGCATAAACAGTGGAAAAATTAGCACTCTCTTTGCCGCTATGCAAGCTGCATTTAATACAGTGAATTTCATCAGGCCCCTTTTCCTTTTGGCAAATGTCTAAAATAACATTACGTTAACAATTTTATTTTCCACAAATCGTTTTGAATAAGTATTCATCTCTGCTACCTTTTGTTCGTGGAGC